AGAAACACTTTATGCAATTTTTTCAGAAATTTTTTTTTCCCGGGGTGATAGTGAGTTAATAACAAAATCCGTCGATTCATTTTTTTCCTCACAAGTTTTAACAGCTAACAAACAAACTAAATTTTTTTTATTCTATCAAACTTGCAAATTTTAAGTTTCACAGATTTTGAGCAGCAAAGCAATATGTAACATAAAGCCAAAACAAAGCGAGGAAAAATTTGCAAAAATAACATTTAAAATTATAATAACTTTAGAACAGATTGGAATTTCGAGAAAAAAATCTATGTTAAGTTCATAAACAATTGCCGCCCGGCATGCCAAATTTAAAATCCGTAGCTGCATTCCTGTGGCCTATCTAGAGATAATGTTCAACAAAGAAATTTTACATAAAAATTTAAAAGTTTCACATTTCAATGATGTTCATTTAATAGCAATACAATAAAAAAATAATAATAGAAAAATAAAGTTCAGTATTTTTGGCACACAGTATCAAGAACAGTAATTGCACACAATTGAAATATATTGTTAATTCTCCCCTACCATTGTTCAAAAAATGATTGAAGTTTTATACACCACTGCTTTTCGGCTCCAATTCGTTTATCTATGGTTTTAAATGTCCTTTAAATAGTTGCCTGCATCTTTAAAAACTTCACTTTCATTAAATATCTGAAAGTAAATAATAAAGATCATGTGTTGGTCAATTGGGTTACGTCAATTTCTTTTTAATCAGTTGCGTTGCTTTTAAAATTGTAATCAATATTAAAAAGATATCATTCTGACTCTTTACTTCCTTTTTTAATTCCTACTATTAGTTCTCCCTATATCTTGTTCAAATATTCAATTGTTAATGAAATACACTCAAGTTCAAATACCTCTTTTTAAATTTCTAGTGGATGACACTTGAAGTTAACACAGTCTTTTCAAATATTAATTCATTCATTAAATTTTATTAATTAATTTCAGTTTTATGCGTGAGAAAAATTTTTAATTATTTAAAAAAAGGTAACTAAAATAAAAAATTTTCTTTGTTGACCAGGTAGCAATTGACATAGAAATTTCTTTTCTTCTTTATATTAAGTACTTGTTTTAGTAAAACCTATTCTTTATAGAGCTATTAATTTTTATATTGCTTCATTTTTATATTTCTGCAATAAATACGTAATTTTTACAACTAAAATATTTTCATATTTATTATAAAATCATTTATTTTCAAGCTCATTACTTCTTTAATATTTTTTACACGATTTGTAGTCATTAATCAATATTTTATGTTTGCATTTGTCATTTGCACTATCATTTGCATCTATCATTGGCTTAGCACAGCCCTCTGCAAAACGATCAATCGAGGTTATGCAGTATTTGCGTCGAAAAAATATTCCAAATAAAATAAAGTTGTAGCATTCGAAATAATTTTTAAAAACGAAAATAAACAAATATGTTTAAATATTCATAAAATGTGCCATGAGATCAATTAAGTATGCTCGCAATTCAAAAATTTATTAGGTTTGTGCAATGAAGTTTTGGTTTCAAAAGAAAATTATATTTTATTTAAGAAAAAATATTTTTTAGAAAAATAAAAAACATCCTGAATTATAAGATTTTTCCAATGTTACTTTTCTTTTCCCAGATTTATTTAGCCCCATTGAAATTTAATTCAATGAGCCTGTGTAAACCTGAACTTTTCAAAAAACAATTTACTCAATGCAATGAGTAAAACAGAATTTTAAACACCATGTTAAAATTTAAACAGATAAATTAATGATCATTCTGCAGAAAAAAGAAAGAAAAGACATCACCCTAAATAACTTCTGTTCTAATGATGGGATTTTCAGTACTAAAACAATCAATGAATGAATCAATGAATTAATCTCAAATATGTTATTTAATTAGTACTAACTATTACTTTAGTAAAAGAATCAGACAACAAACTTTCTCTGAATAATAAGGTCTTTTTTTGACAGATTTGTACTTAGAGCAATAAAATCTAATGGCAGCTGAGAATCTAAAAATTAGTTTTATTAATTTCAGGACAAAGTTTGGACTTCTTCATGTTTATTTTACTTTCTTAGATTTTGGTTATAAATCTAAAACTAATTACACAATTAAAAAAAAAAACACTTGTACTTGCAAATGAAACTTATTTCCTAAAGAATAGTTTGAATAAAAGAATTATTTTCAATAATTATTATTTTATTTAAATAACAGTTGAAAAAAGTTTAAGTTGTAAGGCATAGAGATTTTTACATAATTTTAAACTGTTTTATATTAAATGCCGAAATACAAAATTTAAAAGCTATCAGCTAAATACTTTTCTTAAGAACTACTCTACCAATTTTGAAATCATTTGTAACTTATATATAATTCATAGCTGCCAAGATGGATAAAAATTTTACCAAATAATATACATTTCATGATAATTGTTGCACAATGAACTAAATATTTTACACATAGGGATTTTTATAGTTACCAAAATAGATAAACTGCAATATTTTCCAGTTATGGTTGACATTAAACATACCTGATATGTTATGTATTATGTTTACTCATAATTTCGAATATTAATAGGTATTTAATTCATCAAAGATAGTTAAAAGATTTTTTAATTAGTTTAAGAAGAGAGATTTGAATGAAAATAAATTGAACATTCTAGAACAAAAAAAGTTTTTAACCGATTTCTATAAATGAGGTTCACTTCTTTATTTATTAGTAGTATTTATTTAAATATTCAAGTAATTATTTGTACAAAAATTCCATTTCAATAGGGATTTTTTTAAGGAAACTTACTATATTTTAGGGAATTTTCTAAAATATACAAAAACCTGGCAAAATCCAGTAGAGTTGGCAGCTATGTATAATTAATTGAACATTTCAAAAATGTAAAATACTGAAAAAGATACCACTATAAAAGGCAGTCAAGTGTCAAAGTAGTTGAAAAAGAATCAGGTATATTTTGAAAAATAATAGGCATAATTGAAAAAAATATAAGAATAAGATACATTTTGTAATTAAATTTTTAAAAAAAATTTTATCTCTGAAGGACAACTTACTGTCTCCAAGCTTGCTGAATGATAACAGTTGATTTCTCAATAGACATTCCTTTGCTAGAATTATTATTTCTATTATGCTGGATGCAAACCCAGGATTTCTTACGTCTTGAATCTCATGCAGTCCTTTCAAACATCTTATGTTCTCACTCTGCAGAGAAGAATATTTTTCTGAAATTTCTTTGCTTTTAGAACCAATCAGTCTGTTGAAAAGGGGAAGTCTGAAGGAAAAACCGGAGTAAATAGGCAGAATACAACAAAGACAGGCACTCATAGTTAATATCATACCTGCCAACATTGGAGAAATAAAATAATGGAGATTTTACTAGCGATATATTTTAGGCTACAAGTAAAGTTTTGAAACATCATGCAAGTCAAAAAGAGAAATTCAAAATTGGAAATAATATAAGCACTTACATTTAGGGAAGTAAAAACTATGTTTATAAATCTAAAGAAGATTTTTTAAAATTATTATTTATAATGGCTTAAACTATTTTTAAATCGTTGTTAAACAGATGACCCAATTTTGGGTTTAAGGCTACTAATGTTGCACTCCGTAGACTTGTAGTTTTGAACCCAATCCAGAGTACAAGGGAACTTCTGGATCAATCAAGTATTGGGAGAAATTTGCCTTCAAGGCGGACTTTTTTATGGAACTTACCCGCATTTGCGTAACATAGAGAGGAAAATCACGAAAACGTCCCAAGGTTAGCCCTGACCTTGAGGAGTACTTAAACTATTAACACTAAACATATTGCAGTAACTGGCAATAACACTATCAGTTGAGTATTTTTGCCATCAGCAGATATTTTACGGATTTTGTTTTAAAGATTTCAGCAACAAGTACAGAAAAATTTGAGAATACACAGGTAAACAGGAGATAGTCGTAAAATACAGGAGTCTTCGTTAAAAAACAAGAGATTTGGCGGGTGCGTAATATTATAAGAGTTAGCAAGCATGTTTGACTACTACACTACAACTTGATTCGAATTGCAATTTTAAATAATTTTAGTTGAAATTACTAAGAGTATTACACAGACATTCATTTATATATAGAGAGAATTTCTTTTTCTAATGATATTAATTATCAGAATCAGACCATAGCTAATGAAATTTAAAATAACTTTTATGTTTGGAAAAATGAGTACTTACATAATATTTACTCGTTTAATCACAAAACTAGGAATCTAGGAACATTCTTTCAAAATAGAAGAACATGGAAACATTTGGAGGAAACCAGTTCAATGTTACAAAAGTCGTATTTTAACGCAAAATGCAGATATTTTAAGTTAGCTTTGCCACTATCTTAAATTTACAGAAGAAGTCAGAGTAGTGCAAAACTTAAATTTTGCTATCTAGACAAAGGAGGTATTGTTTCTGATGAATTCATTCACGTTAAATCGAAGAAAAAAAAATAGAATCCCAATCAATAAAACTAAAAGTTTAGAAGTTGATGTGGTATAATGAAAAAACAATGCAAATTTAGACTTATAAATATTTAAGCATTTGACATTGCTGCCTGAGCAAGTGAGGTATTGTCTGGTATATTATACTTACTTTAAATTGAACATGATCAAAAGAAAATAAATAATTAAAATAGTTGTTCTAAATCCAAACCAAGTTGCTAGAGTTAGACCAAAATTTGAAGATATTCAAAAAGTCAATGATGAAAAAAATAAAAAATAAAAAAAAAATTCTCAAAAGAAACCCAAACAGTCCAAAATGTGTTCAGCAGAAGACAAGAGTTTTAAAGGCTTAAAGCTTTGATTTACACTTTTTAACGCATAACAGTCTAGAGAAGTGGTTTTGAAAATCAAAAAAAAAAAAAAAAAAAAAAAAAAAAAAAAACAAATGTAGATTTTAAAATTTAGAATAAAAATTACAATTTCACCTATTTGTGAGTTCAAAATTGCTATTTAAACATGTGAGATATTATATTCTGCATATTGTTTTATTCTGAATGTGATTAAAAAAAAGAGCCAAGAATACAAAACTGGAAGTTTTACCAGTAAAAACTTCTAAATTACTATTTAAATAAAAAAAAATTCAGGTATTGCTATCAAATACACTGTTGAATTCTGAATGTTTCATAGTGTGGAAGTTATAAGGGTTTTTATGTGCAAATAGGTTTAACTAATATTTAAACCTTTTATGCATGATAACCCTTATAACTACTAAATTGTTTATCCTATTCATTTAGGTTTTGATTCAATTCGATTTGGCATAAAAAAAAATTATTAAGCCGTTCTTAATTTGCTAGATAATGTTTAAGTTCCCTCCACACCTTCCAGCTTACATATTATGCAACTTTTTATGAATTATTAAGATAATATTTCTTTATAATAAAATTTTTTTTTGATGTTTGGTTTATGCTATATTTTTTTCAGCAATCTTTACAGTACTGTGATCATTTTAAGTACTCAAAGAGCTTTTCTTTTGTGTTTTTTCAAATGCACAAATTTTTCAAAATTATTATCAGCATCATTAAATTTTCCCATATGTCAAGATAGGAACGTGCCACTGTCAAGATAGGAACACAAATCTCCAGTTAGCATTTTAAGTAATATAATCATGTAGTACATAGCTATTTTACAATACATAGACACTATAACAGCTGCAGATACATTTTTTAAAAGCTGCAGCTGTTTGAAAACAAAAGTTAAAAGAGTGCACAGGCACTTGAACTTTACTGAGCACCATGTATATATACTGTATTAAGTTATTGCTTTATGTAGTAACTCCTCTGATTTTGATACACTTCAATTAAACATATGTAACATACATGAAAAAATAAAAACAACAAGTCATTTAAATGGTTTTATAATATTTGACATAAATCATTATGGAATAAAAACTATCCACTTAAGTTAGTGCTTGAATACGGATATTTAAATTTAGAAGTGTAACAAAAAGTTTTTCGAATAAAAATGTAGGATTAGTCAATGTTCAAACAAACTTTAAGAGAAAAAAAAAAGAAAAGAAAACTTGGTGGCTCTGCTCACAAATCCTCATAATTGCACCACATTCGTTTCTTTTAAAGGTCATTCTTTTTTGCAAAATAAGCTTATTTTAAGAGTAAAATACACAGTTATTATAATTTTATATTGGAACGTTTTCTTAATATTTTATTTATAATAATATTAATGGTTATCTTGACTTGAAAATAATAGACTGCACCCGAGAAAAAATAAATTTAAACATAGGAAAACAGAATATGTGATACAATAGAGGCTTTGTAGTGGGCCAAGGACAAATTAAAGAAAAAATACGGAGATTTTTTGAAACAGCAGACAAATGGCAGACTAATTTTAAAAGAGACACACAGTAAACTAAAAAACATATAATTTGCTCGACTTAAATGAATTAAAGTTTTTCAAAAAATAACAATAAAATACACTATTTCTATATTCCAAATTATTTAAAAACAGAAAGTACACAGCAGTAGCTTTTATATTTCAACACACTTTATTAATGGAACATAGGACAAATTTTAAACGTTTGAGATCAAATATGAACAACTCTATAATGAAAATATTAGAAAAATCCAAGTTTTTATCAGATAAAAATAAAACATTTAATTTTTAAGCATTATATAATGCATATATGCAAACAATATTTTTGAGAGGAACTTATTTTAAATCATACAAATTCACTAACTTAAAATTTGCTCATTTTTTAATAAAATGATGTATTGTTAAATATCAAAACATTAGAATATTCTATTTTTTATAAAATTTATTCAAGTAAATAGAAGTAATTAGTTTAGTGGTAGTTAATAGAAGTAGTTTTAATACAAAAGTAAAAAGATGTAATTATTTTAATAGTGGATGAAACCTGAGCAGAACATTGGGGGGGGGGCAACTTAAAGGGTATAGTTAAAAAAAATTTATTCAACATTTTCATAAATTTAAGTTTCAATCTCATGTTTTTCTAAAGCAAACTACATAAGACTATTAAACAAAAGCTTACAAGAATGTGATGATGCAAATTTTAATTGAATAAATGGTTTTCATGAATAAAATTTTTTTTTATATGTATGATATACATTTTGTAGGATGGATAATAAGAAAAGAAAGTTACTTTGATATTCAAGGCATTACTTAGTTACTATATTAAATTTAACTAATTTTATTTGTAATTAAAGCATTTTAATTCTTTTTCTTGTACCAAGAAATTTAGGATATCAAAATTGTACTATGTTAAAAGAAATTAAGCAGAGTTTGAAATTAAGATTCTACTTGTCCATTTTCCAAGCATTGAGAGAATATTACTAAAGATTTTAGGAGACAAATAATATTTTAATTCCTTAGCTTTAATTAAAATTTTTCAAATAAAGATTTAAGCACTAGCAAGCTTATCAATAATTACAATCACAGTAAATAAATAAATAGTCAAAATGATTTCAAGGCAGTAGAATAAAAAATAATTCAATATTTATACTACTTAAACTAAGATTTGAAGTTTCCCCGTAATTTGGCTTTTATAAACACATTTATTTAAACGTAGTAGATAAAACGTGCGTAGCTAGATTTTTCAACAAAAAACAAGCACCTTTTAAGTACTTTTCAAGCACTCAAAAAATATCTTTAATCACTTTCTATAAAAAGATCATCATTATGATTTGTGCAGTAATAAAAATTATTTTTTTCTATTTTTAAAGTTTTTAATTTATAAACAAAAAATCAATACAATTAATAAAAAAATTAAAAACTTTATATAATCATGATAAAATAAATCTTTCTTTAAAAGAAAGACCATTAAGCACCTTTTACAAACCCTGAATAAAAAAAGCACTTTTAAGGGCATTTAAAAACTGTAAATTAAAAATAAGCACCTTTAAGCACTTTTTAAAAATGCTATTTACCCTGTCTTAGGTTACAAATAACATTTCTCACTAAAGAATATTGAAGTTTAATTGCAGTATCATTTCTTTTATGATATATAAGTTTCACTTGATCTTAAAAACTCTATGTGTTACTTTTTTGAGGGTAATTCCTGTCCCTCCAGCTTTCTTTCAGTAAATTGCAAGTGAGTAAAAAAAAATTAATTTGTACAAACTATAATAACTTATTTTTATACACTATATCAAGAGTTTAATTTTAAAAAAAAATTGCTTTACAACTAATAGGAAAAACTATTGTTTTTTAATTACTGTGCCAATCTAAAATATACTTAAAAGGGAAATTTATAACTGAATAAGGGATTTTAATTTTTTAATTATTTAAAAAACTTTTAATGTGTTTAATATGTTTTAATTTAATGTAATTACATATGTTGTTTCTATTTCGTCAGATTTCAAACAACATTAAAATAAGAATGATATAGTTTAACAATAAGAATATAGTCAGTAAATATAATACAAAATTTTAAAATAAAAAGAACAAGTTAAAATAATTTATCTAAACATGCTTAAATAACTTATGAATACACTTTGTTTTGTGTCCCACAGATAGTTTTGATTTAAAACAAAATTTGTTAAAAAAAATGATGAGCTGAAAAAAAAAACATATTTTCTCAAAACTTAATGTATTTTTGTTTTCATAATTTTTATCTGAAGTTTGCTTAACATATTCTTTTTCTTTCTTTTTGCACCAAAAAAATTTAGAATATTTTAATTATTAATATTTTATTATTATATACATAATAAAAAGATATTCGGCTCCTTTAAAAAAAGGAAAAAAACTTTATACACAAAGCAAAAGCTAGCAATTTCAATTTTAGTTACTTGTTGATGCTTGTTAACTGTAGAGTAAACTGTCGATTAACCACAGAATTGAGTGGCCAACACAGTGCGGATCAGCAAACTCGTGCATAATACACAAAACACTTAAAAATGACACACATCATCAATTTCCTTTTAACATAAATAATAAGTTATTAAAGGTTTACTGGTTGTATAGGCATAAAATATACAAAAATTAAATAACTACTTTTCAATGAAATATCAATTAAAATATTTTCTATGTTATTTTAAAATATTATTTATTTATAAGAAAAAAGGTAGTTACTTTCTTAATGTATTTATGATTTATGGTAATTACTTTCTTAATGTATTCTTTTAATGTATCTAAAGTATTTATGTGAGGAAACAGTAATTACATTTTCCAAAGAAATGGCAATTTAAAACTGTAACTAAATTCTTGTTTTAAAAGTTTCTACATTGCTAGACATTGATTTGTATAATTTAATCTATAATTTTAATATAAAAAATATGAACATTAAGTTAATTATGAGCTGAATTCCTAATTGACTGAGAATGACTTTTAGATTCAGATAATGTTCATTAAAATGTTAAGGAAGAACCCAAATTAATTTGTAAAATATTAAAACATTTGCAGAAGTAAACTAGCACAAAATTGTGTGCTTTAATGATCAATTGATTCTATATAATCAATTGAAAAATTGTTTTGTACCAGATTATAGTGAATATTGAGCATGATATTAAGGGGAACTGAATAAAGTTCAGCAACAAGTAAATGGTATATGAAGCTTTTGTATGTAATAATACAGTACAATTTTACAAAAGTAATTGAATGGATTTTGAAAAGAAAATTATTGAAGTGTACTTAAAAAGGAGGTTACTCAAGTTAATCTGTACATCACCTAGGTTATCTGTGGAACAATTGATTTCTAAAGTGTATATGTAATACAGAAATTTACAAATTTCATATTATTTAGAACTTACTGCAGAGGTATTCAAAGCATTTTTTATTCTCTCCCAGGTTGTTTCATTATTACTCAAGTTGATCAAGGTTTAACAGCAGTTGAATTATTGCAAGAAGAAACACAGTGAAGATGAGTCCTACAAGTAATTAATATTATGATAAGTAACACAAATATAACACAATTAAAAAATGACATTATTTGCAGTGCTCACATCCCTCTCTAAAATGTATTTAAGACATATAAAAAAATTAAAAAAAACTTTTCCAAATGTTTTTTCCTTTTTTAAATAAGAGTAAAAACCTACCAGTTATTTAAAATTTAACTAAAATTTACTGTAAACCTAGAGAATAAGAAACTTTAGATAAATGCAAAACTTTACAGCTGTATAGGAGAAATTTCTTTCTTCTTCAAATATTGAAGTGTTGTCAATATAAAAAGAACATTCTTAGTGAAGAGAAAAAAGGAATATCAAATCTAAAATCATTATCAGAGTTCGATTCTGTAATGTTCTTATTTTAAGAATCTTGTGAAAATTACTTACATAAAAAATAACTGTTCTTTATGAATTCANAAATACCATATTTTTTTTAAAAAATAAATTAGGAAGAATATATAGAATATATTTCGAATTAAGAAATATCAAATTAATAACCACTTTAGAACCTAAAGGAAAAATAAAAGTATTCAATACGCATGTCAGCAATTCCAGCTTCTAAGTTAATTCTTGTTAAATAATTTTAGAAACAAGTTAGAAAAAATATTCCACTTGGTTCAAAGATTGATTATAAACAAATTATTGCAAAACAATGGAAATGTACAAGAATCAAACAAATAAGTTTACTTAAAATAAAAATTTTCAACATCTACAGAATAAATAAATTTTCAAAATAAAATTAAAAGCTTTTATTTACACAAACCGTAAGAAATTAAAAAAAAGAAATCTAAATAATAAAAGAAAACAAAAAAAAGTAATGCAAATATAGTAGTATTAAATTATTTATCCAGAAGTACAGTGAACTCTCACTTATGCAACGGTGTAAGGGGCCAAGAGAAAAAGGCGCATAAGTGAAAAGCTTCAAAATTCTAAAACGCAATGTAAATTGCAATGACAATATGAATAAATATGTTTCTAAAGATTAAATGTTAATATTTATACTGCTTTGGTATTTACTATAATTATACAAAGAAAAAATTTAACATACCTTAAGACAATTTATTTCCTTACAAAATAATCTTAATACATGTTTGTATTTGTTTTTGCCGACGTATTTCAAAAACAGTTTCCTCCAGTTCATACAAATGGGATAAGGGAGAGTTTCAGAAGCAAAATTAAATTGTAAATAGTCACGAATAGTGTCTAAAGCTTCCAATACTGTTGTGTGATTTGGAGGAACTTTATCATCCTCGTCAGTATCATCCACCACGTTCTCATCGTCCACAAGTTAAGGTTAGATATAAATGAACACTTCTTCACAAAAATTTTGAGTTTTAGGGAGGGGGTGAAACATCACATGATAAATTTATAAGAAAAGTACTTGACGTCATAATATGCTGCACAATAAGTTGTTCGATTACTAATGTCACTAAACAGATCACCTCCTTTTATTTACTTATAATGCCCATCTGACTGCAAGTAAGTGATCGCGATCTCTTTCATCTTTCATATTCCAGGTGTCTTTTTTTTCTTTCTAGAAAACAGCATGGGAGTAAAACTAATCTCTGGACAAGAGGAATGGTCATTTTCTAAAAGATGAATGGGCTTTCATTGCTGTTAGTGTAACAGATAAGACACCCTATTCAAAATTCTAGAAAGAATGTCTTTCCAGAAACCGCAAAAATGAAAAGGTCACAGGGGGAAGCAAATTCAATAGGATCTAACAACATATATTTCTTTTCATCTGTAACAAGGATTGCTTATTTCCTTCATTTTTAATTTAAAACACTTTTTTTAAAAAAAGAACAAATATTTAAAGAATTAAAAAATTAAAATGTTAGCCTAAAATTTCGGCACATAATTGAAAAATTGACTTTTAGAGCGACGCATAAACGAAGGATGTTTATCATTATTTTCCTATCTAATGTACTGGGACCTATAAAAATCGTTGTATAAATGAAAAAGGTGCATAAAAGAGGTGGTGCATAAGTGAGAGGTCACTGTATTAAGACAAAAGAAATATTTAAAAAATAAAACTGCCAAAATCTAAACATATTTAAATTAGACAATATATAAATAGATCTTTATAATAAAAACCCTTCTTAAATTTGCAAAAAACTATGATGGTTCAAGAATATATTTTTAAGAAATATTAAAAATTACACAGTTTGCAAGCAGTTCTTTAGACCATTTTATAAAATACTGAAGAAAATTAATCAAGTTACTTTAGAAATATATCTCATGCAGAAATAATTTATTTTGTACTCTAATTATTTGAATCACTAAAATTATTAATTCAGTTTTTATAATTAGAGTGGGATGTATATATTCAATTGTATAAAATCTTGCTTTATAACAGATATTTTTTTAACTTTTGAATGAATTCCAACAAAGTTTTTTCTTAAATATGGAATTATGAATACAATAAAAGCTATAAAGAGTATGGCATAAAGAGAAATCTGCTATTACGACAATTTTTAAGTCATCGTCAAAATAGTGATATTAAATGTACAAGAATTATACATTTATAAGGAGTTGAAAATGTCTAGCATTCAATTATTGCGAAAGAAGTTTTATCAATAAAAAAAAGTGAAAAATAAATATCAATACACCTTATAAAATAAACATGCGTAAGAAATTACCAGCCAAAATTAATTTCCACTTTAAGAAAGAATAAGTCTTCTAATGCACATTACATATATACACACACACACATGCAATATATGTATATATAT